TTGTAACACAAGTGCATCACAGTGTGAAATGTGTTTTAGTGAGTGAGAATGTGTTTAGAGTTTTGCAAAAAGAGTGATTGATTCGACAAATGGGTTTAGGCCACTGAGCATTTGGTTCAGAGAATGGGGTTTAGTGTTTTAGCAATTCAGAAAAACTGTAAATTGATTTAAATGTCATTTTTTTGTCAACGATCTACACAAAATACTAAATACAAAAATTATGGAAAATAAAACACTAAATCTTGATTAGATAGGTATTCAAACCCCAAAGTCAATACATGTTAGAATCAGCTGTGAGTCTTTCTGGGTAAGTCTCTAAGAGCTTATACAATATTTGCCCATTATTCTTAAAAAACGATTATTCACGATTCAATGTCGTCTTGGTAAGCAACTCCAGTGTATATTTGGCCTTGTATTTTAGTAAATTGTCCTGCTGAAAGGTGAATTTGTCTCCCAGGAAAGCAGACTGGAGCAAGTTTTCCTCTAGGATTTTGCCTGTGCTTTGCTGTATTCTATTTCTTTTTATCCTAAAAAACTCCCTAGTCCTTGCCGATGACAAGCATACCCATAACATGATGCAGCCACCACCATGCTTGAAAATATGAAGAGTGGTACTCAGTGATGTGTTGTGTTGGATTTGCCCCAAACATAATGCTTTGTATTCAGGACAAAAAGTTCATTTCTTTGCCACATTTTTTGCAGTATTACTTGCCTTATTGCAAACAGGATGCATGTTTTCTGAATATTTTTATTGTGTACAAGCTTCCTTCTTTTCACTCTGTTATTTTTGCACACATAGTGAGTCCACACAACTTATTATGTGACTTGTTAAGCACATTTTTACTCCTGAACTTATTTAGGAGTTATTTGGTCCCGTGTAGGTCAGTTGGTAGAGCATGGCGCTTGCAATGCCAGGGTTGTGGGTTTGATTCCCACGGGGGGCCAGTATGAAAAAAATAATAGTTATGCACTCACTAACTGTAAGTTGCTCTGGATAAGAGCGTCTGATAAATGACTAAAATGTAAAAAATAACAAAAGGGTTGAATACTTATTGACTCAAGACATTTCAGCTTTTCATTTTTTTATTCATTTGTAAAGATTTCTAAAAACATAATTCCACTTTGACATTATGGGGTATTGTTTATAGGTCAGTGACACAAAATCTAAATTTAATCAATTTTAAATTCAGGCTGTAACACAACAAAATGTTGAAAAAGTCAAGGGGTGTAAATACTTTCTAAAGGCACTGTGCCATCACAACAGTATTGCTGTATAATGAATATTAATTAATTGATTGATCATTTGTAAGATGATAGTTGTGGTAAAGTGAGTACTAGAAACTACTACTATAGTATGAAATATGTCATTGTAAGTTACTTTACCCAGCTTTAACTATTACTACTGCAACTGCTCAGTAGTACCACTACTAGTAGTACTACTATTAACTTGGGAACTATAAGGCAGCCAGTTCCATGTGGTACAATGCATTCAGTCTGTGAACTGAACTGCGTTTAGGAAAATCCTTGTTGGATTCCCGATCTGTGGAAACAAGAGTGGTGTTGGATCCTGCACATCCAGCCCCCTGCTGAGAATCCAATCCAGCGCTTGCTCTTCATTACCCCTTCCCAAAGTCTTCCCACAGAACTCTGCAGGGCACCAATACAGAGTAATGCAAACTGATGCCCCCAGTAATCTCACTATCAGATAGATAAAGCCCTGATTTGTAGCTACTTTAGCTAGGTGGGGGCCTAGTGTGGTAGGTCAACTGTGGACATAACCTAATTTTGCCCTCCAAGCACTCAGTTCATGTGTTGTGATTTAGTTATTTCTGGGCACTCACTGACTAGTTTACAGCATTGCCTGGAGGGCCTTTCAGGGGGCATGTGCTCAAAATGTAAAACTATTTTTAATTTTAATTTTTTAGCATAGGCCTATTTATTTCTGGGGGGGGGGGGGGGGGTTATACTACCACCCAAAAGGGCACTTTGGAGACTGGAAGAGCAAAGGGGCATGTGCTCTGCACAGGTAGAGCCCTATCTGTGCACGTGCCTGTTTCCATTTTAATGTCACGTGCACAAGTACAGTGAAATGCCTTTCTGCACAATGCAGTAATCAATAACAATGTAATACTAAAAAGAACATAAAGTAGAACAAAAACACAGAAATAAGAAGAACACGAGAAAGTAAGTCAACTATACAGGGTCAGTTCCAATACCATATTTACAATGTGCAGGGATACTGGATCAATAATGGTAGATATGTATAGGGGTAAGGTGACTAGGCATCATGATATATGATAAACAGAGTAGCAGCAGCATATATGATGATTGTACTCCTGAGTGGCGCAGTGGTCTAACTGTGCCACTAGAGATCCTGGTTCGAATCCAGGCTCTGTCGCAGCCGGCCGCGACCGGGAGACTCATGAGCGGCGCACAATTGGCCCAGCGTCGTCCAGGGTAGGGGAGGGAATGGCCGGCAGGGATGTAGCTCAGTTGATAGAGTATGGCGTTTGTAACGCCAGAGTTGTGGATTCGATTCCCAAGGGGGGCCAGTATAAAATAATATATATATGTATTCACTAACTGTAAGTCGCTCTGGATAAGAGCGTCTGCTAAATGACTAAAATGTAAATGTAATTGTATGTGCATGTTGTGTGTGTGTGTGTGTGAGCAATTGAAGTGTGTGTGCGTGTGCGTGCGCGCTTGTGTGTGTTTGAGTGTCAGTGTGCGTGAGTGTGTAGAGTCCTGTGAGTGTGCATAGAGAATACAAGGGTCAACTCAGATAGGCATTTCTTTTTTTGCTGGTTGCCTGTCAAAGGATAACAGCTATTGATGAAACGTAATCTACTTTATGCCTCTAAATTGGAATTAGACTCGTCATAAATGTGTGGCGTAAAGGCCTAAAGGTGCGAGTAGCTATTTAGGTCTATAATCCATTAAAGGGCGCATCTCATACTATCATGTCTTTGTGGGGAATACTGACTAGAGCGCTAAGATGTGCATGTTTTACACCAGACCTAATTTTTCCAAAGTATATTAAATACATAGTTCTGGATCATGTTGTTGCATCTGAGAATACAGGGTGTACTTTACTTTGTTCATTCATAATTTATTTCTGATTTCCATTTATTTTCCTGTAGAGCAAAAACAATTGTATGGGGATTATTATTTTTGTTTATTAGCAACAAGATGATCATAATGTGATTATACAGTTTGGCCTGAATCAATTAACAAGTTACAAGACAATAGTTCAAAGTGGCTTATAAGGAGGACACTGCTGTTGCCTCCTGAGCAAACATTCCCTCTCTGTCTTATTAAGAGAGAACATCTAATCAAATCTTCTCTTCCTCATTATTGGTAAACCCAAACAAAACTCTTTATCTGTTATTGAGGCGATATGTTTCTCTCTCAATTTCATAACAACTATACAGCTGTCTGTTTCTCGGGTCTACCCAAGTAGAGGACAAGGGTTTAATCTAATTCTTCCCTCTAAACTGCATAATCAGTATACGCATTATACATTTTAAAAGCAGATACTATCAATTATTCCTCCACTGAATATGTAAAACAGATGCAAATTGACGTGAACTACTTTTACTCTAATTATGCTTTCCCGCTCAGCTGTCTGCAAAAAAAGATTTCAACAGGCATTCTTTAAGACCTTCCCCAAATATGACTGGCCTAGCTGCGGTTTAAAGACAGATAAAAAAGAAAACAATTTGAAGTGATCAGGGGTGAATTACATTGATCTGCGGATCTAAACGCTGCACTAGTGAGTGAACGGCTGTTATGCAGAGCAGTACCTTTCTGAAATACAATATCTGTCTCCACCATGGCTAATCAGTGCAGAGGATGCTGGGTTTGTGATTGGTTAAGGCTCATGAGTAAGGTGGTATACATAGTAGTTAACTGCTGATGTTCCTGCTCTCCTCCCTCCTTTTGGTAGTTAGGTGTTTGTGTTTTCCTCTGAAATTAGTTAGTGCATGTCTCTGTCTGTGTTTCGCCTTTGTTCACCTTTGTTTAACCACTCCTATGTTATTATAGGGCCTAGTGTTGTTGTGGATCGTAATGCAGTGATTAGCCTATTGTAGAGAAACCATGAGAGGTGTGATGTGTTTGTCAAGTACAGGATTTTCTGGAGCTTTTTTAAATATTTAAATAACTTCCAAATTATCTCAGAAAATGTTTTCCCCAATAGATTTGAGGGCTTACTCTGCCAGTGGGTAACTGGCTCTGCCATTCTTAGAATTGCTCCCTGGATTAGTGGGAAAGGAACTACATAACCTATGGAATCTCTGTTTTGGTGCATGCACCCTCCTCTTGGAAACGAGGAGCCAAACATTGTGGTGGTGGAATTAGATTTTCAGAATCTTTCTCAATCAATTCCATTCCGTAGCCTCACATTAAATAAATGTTGAATTTTGACCATATTGGTTTTCTTTAATCCATTACTTAGAAAGTCACATACTTTATCCCCCCTTTCTTTGGAGATTAGACAGCTACTTATCAATATTCCATTAAATAGATTTCATGAACCTCATACTGTAAGCTACCCTCTTATATCTAGTTTTAAAAAAGTATACTTTTTGTATTTGTTTAATTACATTGGGATGTAGTAGATGAAAAGTCAGTGAAGTGGAGAAAAATGTCCTACTAATGATGTACAATTGCTTTACGGTGCTGTAATAAGTAAATAAATAAATAAATACAATGTAAATGTAATAAGCATAGGATCAGCAGGATGTCTTACAAACAGTATGTTAATGTGTCTCGCTCCTAGCACTAATGACCAGTCCTCTGTCAAATAACTACAATTGTAATATACAGCCAAAGTGCAGGAACCTTGTAGTACATCCATACTGTAGTTAGTTACTGTGTCTGCTGCACCCAGGTTTAATCAGATGTCTTACTCTTAGGTTTTGAATGATTAATGCCCTGAGTTTCTCTTTTTAGCACTAATCCTCCCACCCCATGCTAATCCATGGCTCTCCCCTACAGCAGTACACTTGTTTGGGCTGACCTGGCACCTGCAGCCAGCGGATGGGGAGTTCTATGAGAATGGACTCAGCAAACTGGACAGAGACTCAGAGAGCATAGACATTACCTTCACGCCCTTCGGTCTGCCCGGCCTCAACAACACCAACAAAGGTAAGCGGTGGTGGGCAAAGATCTATGTTATGAAGCATCCAGGGTTTGATTCACAGTGTCAGACCACAGAACAAAAGCTAGAGCAAGGGCGATCCATGGGCTCTCTCATCATATTTGTCTTCCTCTGTGTTTACATAAGAAACCTGTTGTTTCATAACCAGCGTGTTGGATGCAATATGTTTCGACTGATAATTATTTCCTTCTTGTGCGATGCTTATTGTGGTTCAGATAAAAGAGCCGGTAGCTGGGTGGGTGGGTGATGCACAGGTCATCCCCGAGTTAAAACGCCTAGTGTTCACAGGGAATTGCCTCCATTAGCACGATAAAGATCTGATTATATAAATTTCCCACTTCCGAAAAATAAACTCATAGAATCATCGAGATAGAAATATAGCATTATTCCAATAACACCAGATCAGCCCTGGGGTCCCAAATACCGCAGACGTACAATTCCATATCGGCAATGAGTGAAATAATTCAGTTCCATTCCACATAATTCAATTCCATTTCTATAAGCACGTGAACCAGAAAATGTTCTCTGCAACTAGGGCAATGTTGAAGAGTAGATTAAAATCAAATCAGTTATGAAAATATTGGATTGCCCCTGCATAACCACATAATGAATCTCAGTAAAAGCTTGGTGTCTGAGTTTCAATATTCCCATATCATTGCCCTCTGACACATCCATCCTTTCTCTTACCAAGGGGAGGAATAGGAAACACTGCAGGTAGTACTGCTAGATTGAGACAGTATATAAGGCTGTGTGCACTCTGTGGCTAGTACAATGCAGCCAACTGTGCTGGGTTACATTAGCATGCATTGACTATGAAGTAATCATGAGGAGCTTCATGAGCAGTTAATTAAAGTAAGAGAGCTTGGATTAATCCCCTAGCAGGCTATAGCCCACAGCGTCATCCTTAACTCTTTCAGACCAGAGGTCCTCCAGCTCCCCTTCTCAACCTCCCTGTTCTACGAAACAAACAGGATTAGAATGACATGACAGTTTATCTACTTTAGGCCTTTACCTTAGTAAAAGCTGAAACAAGGAATTATAACGATTTAGATCATTATTATGTATAGTTTCTATCATACTTATCTTTCATTGGCATTTCTCACTTGTAGTTCTGGGAATTTTCTTAGAACATTAGACATTTTTTTATTGGACCTTCCCATAGGATGATGTGTTGGTCCAGTCCCTATAATTGGTCCTCTGTATTTGGTCTAAGTATGTACATCTTCTTTAGAATAGCAATCAGATTATTATCAGCATAGATCTGATGGATGAAAGGGAATAGAATAGTCTCAATCAACAGACAGACTCAAGTATTAAAAGCTTGTTCTATTCAGCTGTCCAATTCTGAGGGAAAATTATAACTAATTGAAAAGACGGTTTCATTTCATTGTGAATGGATTACTGGAATAATTGTTTTATCAGGATAACCCTTAGGCTATGAGAATTAATTTGCTTGTATGTCAGACTATTTTGAAGCGCTTTTCTAATTTATTCCCCCCCCCTCCCGAACCCAGTGTAAGTGACAGGTGAGATGGCCTGCAGTAGAGGCACCAGCTAGATATACCTTCATTACCCTGTAATGGGTTCTATGGTGGCAGTGGCACAGACCAAACACCACCTCTCCTAAACAGTATAACACAGCTATACACAGTGAGTTAGTAAATGCATTCTGGTAGCAACAAAGTAACACTACCATTACCTTGTCCACCTGCTCCAGTCTGGTGGCGGTTTCTCAACAAAAAATGGCCTTCGTTTCTATGATTACCAAACCAATCTTTTCCACAAGGTTGTCGAGGCTAACGTGTGATCAATCCATGTCATCGATGTCTAGACATATATGTACATTTCAATAACAGTTTATGTTCCATACATCCAATTTGTAAGTCGCTCTGGATAAGAGCATCTGCTAAATGATGTAAATGTAAATAAAATAGAAACACATTAAAACACGTGGATTCCAGAGCTCTGTACAGTGAGTAATGTGAAGATAAGTAGACACCAAACAGATAGAATATACACTCTTAGAAGAAAGGGTTCCAAAAGGGTTCTTCAGCTGTCCCCATAGGAGAACCCTTTTTGGTTCCAGGTACAACCCTTTTTGGTTACATGTAGAACCCTCTGTAGAAAGGGTCAAAAAGGATTCTTCAAAGGGTTCTCCTATGGGGACAGCCAAAGAACCCTTTAAGGTTCTAGATAGCACCTTTTTTTTCCTAAGAGTGTAGCTTAATGTGTACAGTAGAGCTGAACTGATCTCATGTTACCTGCCAGGAGAGAGGGAATCAATAATGTGACACGCTGGTGTGTTGGCGTACCTGCCAGAGAGCAGAAACCAGAGGTTATCAGCACAGAATAATTTTTTCATGCCTTTTTCATGCCTGTGGGAGGTGTTAGCACAAGCATCCGGTAGCTCGCTGGTCTTCTCCTTCTCCACCATAGTATAACACCATATTAGATGTGGTTGTTTTTTGTTTCTGTTCACAGTTGTGTAGCACCAGTTTGAGCAGATGCAGGGTTTCATCTGACAATGAGGATGGAACGTTTCCTAAAAGGACCGAGGAGGATTTATTAGTCGAGGCAATGAAATGAAACGGATTAAAGTCAGCCTGTATTTTCTCTCATTATCTGATAGAGGTAGAGGGATAGCCAATATCTATGTGCAGCAACGAACGCTGTTCTCATTTGTGTTTATATCCATTTGTGCATTTATTTGCATTTGGTGCAAATTCACTGTGTGTGTGTGTGTGTGTGTGTGTGTGTGTGGGTGTGGGTGTGGGTGTGTGGGTGTGGTGTGTGTGTGTGTGTGTGTGTGTGTGTGTGGGTGTGGGTGTGTGTGGGTGTGGGTGTGTGGGTGTGTGTGTGTGTTTTACACCATATAGATAAGGAGCTATTCCAGAGGGGGAAAGCGATAGACCGAGGGGAGGTGGACATTGGTACCCAGGTGATGCAGGTCATTCCCCCAGGTCTGTTCTGGCGTTTCCACATCACCATCCACCACCCAGAGTATGTCAAGTTCAATGTCTCCCTGGCACGGGACGCCCTCTTGGGGATCTATGGGCGGAGGAACATCCCCCCTACACACACACAGGTACTGTACCTCCTACCAACCACATACACACAAGAGCACAACACCCACTCCCATGTAAACAGTAGGCTCTTATGTATTCCCACTCCTGCATACGCAATGACTGAAACACCCCAATACACATAAGTAACTAAATACACACCTGGGTCATCTACACACTTGCACAGATACACACCCACACATGCACAGATCCACACCAACCTCCATGCTAATGAGTGTACCCCTCTCCCTACGCACAACTACCTTTCCTCCATCCATCTGTCATCCTTCAGTCTCACTCTTCACCCACATGGAAACCCACAATAAAAAGCTGGACCAAGCAGATGTTGTGCCTTTATGTCAAGTTTGATCACTTCACCAATCAGTGAATTAGCTACGGTACTGTTGGCTACGTAACAGTACTTTTGTCAAATGCATAATGAGCTTCAATGTATGTAGTTTATTGTTATGGAATGAATGCAATTAAGGAAATATCTAGTGGAACTAATGTGATGTCAATAAAATGCCTAAACTCCCCAATCACTGCTTGTTAGCAGATATTATCTAAGATTAACAGTTCCAATCATTCAAGAAATTGAGATCTGTCGTAATTCAATTAAATACTCCTTATTTATGGCTCATTTGCATACTCATTTTGCATATGTAGGTGCATGGATACAGACAATTCATTAATGCTAATTGAAAGGTTCCTTTCAAACACAGATGTCCTTTTTGTTCTATAAGGATGCTCATAATCATTATAGTAATCACACATATATCCTGCTAACTGAACATTAGACCATATTAAAGTCTCAGTGGGGCGGACTAATCCCACACAATCATTAGATGTCTCTGTCAGCCAGGTCAGCTGATTCGGCTGATCCCAGTTCAGTTTTTCGCCCCTGCATGCAGTCACATATATGTTGCCCCGGACCATCCCTCATTACATCTGCTGATAGAATACCCAGCAGGTCATGGGGCTGAGCACTCAGGGTCACGGCGAGACCGCCACACAAGCGACTTATCTGTCACAAGGCTGTTTCACCGGCCTCAGCAAACCCAGCAGGCTTCCGCATGATGAATCCTAATAGGATGTTTTTAGTCATTAATCTGAGTCAGTCCCCTTGGCGGCACGCACAGTTCAGACTTTTCTTTCAAGGAGATTTTGTCACTATTGGCCATTTCCGCTTCAGTGTGACATCATTTGCAGATCCCCAGCTGAAAGTGAATAATGGAGGGGCTGGGATCGCCTCTTCTGCCTCCTCTTCTGCTGCTTTGCATCACTGATGAGTTGAAATGCAGGAGGCCGATGGCTATGGTGCCCCAGCGGTTCTACTGAATTACAAACATCGTTTTCCTTTTGTTCCGTAGGGGAACATTTGTCTCTCATAAGACAACCTGAGTCATAGAGTGATTCTGAGGCCTGGGGGCATGTCATTGGAGTTACGGACCTGGCCTCACCCAGCCCTGGGTTTATTATTTAGGACGGGTGGAGGAGTGAAGACAGACGTCCCTCTGAGCCTGGCAGGCAGAAAGGCTTTGCTGCATGCAGTCACCAGCCGAATGCAGTGTAATACCAGCCCTGGCCTATGCTTATCTCCAAGAGCACACACAAACATGAGTGGCACTGGTGCAGCTAAGGCACTGCGTCCCGCTCCAGGCTACTGTCATATCCTACTCATCTGGTAATCCAGCAATGCAGCATGGGGCCTGTCTCCTTATTACGCTCATTAAGGGCAAAGTCAAAAGGTGGCTCGGGAGCTTTTGCATATGGTTAAGTTCAAGTTCTTTTAAGATGGATGACAGGATATGATACGTTTTGGCACATTCCCAGAGATAGATATGTGTGCTGTGATGTTGGAGGTACCCTGATACACCCTGTCAGTCAGGGCATGTCAGTATGCCCAACCAGGAACTTGTGATGTCCCAGCTTTTTACTCCCAAACCTTGGCTACATATTTAATCGGATGTTTTCTCTTCCTCCTGCAGTTTGACTTTGTCAAGCTCCTGGACGGGAAGCAGCTGATCAGACAGGAGGTTCAGATGGTAGCGGAGGATTCCAACGCGTCGCCCAGGAACCTGATCCTATCCTCCCTCCAGGAGACAGGCTTCATAGAGTACATGGACGCTGGAACCTGGTACCTGGCTTTCTACAACGACGGAAAGAAAATGGAACAAGTTTTTGTTCTGAGCACTGCCATCGGTAATTGGCTCCTCGTTATGTAAAAAGTATAATAGGTGCTCCACATTGTCAGACACTAATGAAAATTGCATTGCCATGCAATCATGTTTGGGAGCAGTAATGAAGTCTTATAATTACTGCACATGTACAGAAAAATACAGTGCATGTGACATTATTTCCAGGAAAAATGTGTGCGAAACAAGCTGCCATTTTAACATCAAAATGGTTGAGTTATGTTGCTCGTTGCAAGGAGCTGCAGTCTGTCATCCTTAATTGATTGACCTTTTGTCAACCGTCTGTAAGCCTCTGCTGAGAGACAAGACAATGTATTCCTCCTAATGCTCTCTCTGCAGCCTCTCATGGAAATGATTTTGCTCTGTCTTTTAAAACGCATTGTTGTCTGAAAGGCAGTGCAAGAATGGTGTCAGTTTTCATTTTCTTCATAATTATGTAAAATATCTGAAGAGTTTCTTTCCAAACGCTATATCCACCAATATTTCACGTTTTTTTAATCAGAAACTATTGCTTATGGGTACCTTCATGTGTGTGTTTACTATTCTCAAATGTTTTATTCATCAATTCATCAAAACGCTATCTATCCATTGTTTAGCTTGAATATAATGTTTGTATCCTGTATATTTGACTGTGATATGTGGTTCTCTCACCTAGCTATCTTAAGATGAATACTTTTACTGTAAGTCGCTCTGCTAAAATGCTTTACGTACATATCTCATATTACTTTATTGAGTTATAAAATATAAAAATTTCTTAAAATATTGATGTCACAAATTTATAATTTGTACATTTCTTTATAAAAAGTGTAGTTATTTGTTACGTTTGACTGTGTAAAACCTAGCAGTACTACTTACAGGGTTGTATTTCTTTGAGAGTGAGGCGGATATATAGCACTTATATGTAGCATTTATATATAGTATTTATATATAGCATTTAAAGGATATACATTGCATTTGGATTAAATTATTTATTTTTCTCATCAATACCCCATAATGACAAAGCAAAAACTGTTTTTTTGAAATGTTTGCAAATGTATAAAAAACATTTTAAAAATAATACCTTATTTATGTAAGTATTCAGACCCTTTGCTATGAGACTCGAAATTGAGCTCAGGTCCATCCTGTTTCCATTGATCATCTTTGAGATGTTTCTACAACTTGAGTGGCGTCCACCTGTGGTATATTCAATTGATTGGACATGGTTTTGAAAAGGTCCCACAGTTGACAGAGCAAAAACAAAGCCATAAGGTCAAAGGAATTGTCCGTAGAGCTCTGAGACAGGATTGTGTCGAGGCACAGATCTGGGGAAGGGTACCAAAAAATGTCTGCAGCGTTGAAGGTCCCCAAGAACACAGTGGTCTCCATCATTCTTAAATGGAAGAAGTTTGGAACAACCAAGACTCTTCCTAGAGCTGGCCGCCCGACCAAACCTGGCCGCCCGACCAAACTGAGCAATCGGGGGAGAAGGGCCTTGGTCAGGGAGGTGACCAAGAACCCGATGGTCACTCTGACAGAGCTCCAGAGTCCCACTGTGGAGATGGAAGAGCCTTCCAGAAAGATAACCATCTCAGGGTGGCCAGACGGAAGCCACTCCTCTGTAAAAGGCACATGACAGCCCTCTTGGAGTTTGCCAAATGGCACCTAAAGGACTCTCAGACCATGAGAAACAAGATTCTCTGGTCTGATGAAACCAAGATTGAACTCTTTGGTCTGAATGCCAAGGGTCACATCTGGAGGAAACCTGGCACCATCCCTATGGTGAAGCATGGTGGTGGCAGCATCATGCTGTGGGGATGTTTTTCAGCGGCAGGGACTGGGAGACTAGTCAGGATCAAGGGAAAGATGAACAGAGCAAAGTACAGAGAGATCCTTGATGAAAACCTGCTCCAGAGCACTCAGGACCTCAGACTGGGGCCAAGGTTCACCTTCCAACAGGACAATGACCCTAAGCACACAGCCAAGACAACGCAGGAGTGGCTTCGGAACAAGTCTGGACTTGAACCCGATCGAACATCTCTGGAGAGACCTGAAAATAGCTGTGCACCGACGCTCCCCATCCAACCTGACAGAGCTTGAGAGGCTCTGTAGAGAAGAATGGGAGAAACTCCATAAATACAGGTGTGCCAAGCTTGTAGCGTCATTCCGAAGAAAACTCAAGGCTGTAATTGCTGCCAAAGGTGCTTCAACATAGTACTGAGTAAAGGGTCTGAATACTAATGAAAATGTGATATTTCCGTTTTTTATTTGTAATACATTTGCTAAAATAAAAAAATTAAAAAGGTTTTTGCTTTGTCATTATGGGGTGTTGTGTGTAGATTGATGAGGGGAAAAAAACAATTTAATCAATTTTAGAATAAGGCTGTAATGTAACAAAATGTGGAGGGGGGTCTGAATGCACTGTATAGCAAATAACTTGATTATTTGTCTCTCTGAAACGAAACCATCAAGTGGTAGATTTTAAACAAATACATTTCTGTCATTGAACAACCCATGCCATGATTAGATAGTGAAAAAACACACCAATCTCTTTCATAATTTCTTTAAACAGTAAAAGCTCATTCACTAACATTTCTGAAAATGGATATATTGCGTTTTGGAATGAAACTCTTCCTCTGTTACCTTATTGTCACTCATTCAACATGTTAGAATATAATATGTCGTCAAGTGTGGTCAAACACACATCCTTTAGTAGGGTGCAGGGCCGAAAAAAGTTGGTATAAAATAAATAGAGCCCGCACACTCAAAGCTCCACCACATACCTTTATTAATAAACACATTATATGTCTCAATGGATGCAGAAAGTAAGTAATAGTCTTCATTATACCCTGAGTTTGGCACCATTTTTATCCTATGTGTTTCTGTCTAGCCCATGGGAGGTTGTGTTGTTTACCACTGTCTCTGTGTCTGTAGAAACCATGGACGGCTGCTCCACCAACTGTAAGGGGAACGGGGAATGTGTAGCAGGTCACTGCCACTGCTTCACTGGCTTTCTGGGACCAGACTGCTCAAAAGGTATATTAAAAGAGATTGAACATGATCTTAAGCACTTACAAATTCGTAGCATATTGTATGAATTGGAATTCGTAACATATCAAACGAATTGGACAAAAAAATAAAATATTTGCAGGACGTAAGATATCTTACTGACTTTGTACACATTTGTGCAACATTTTCGGGGACACGTTTTGGCTTGTGAGCACTTCCTTAAAAACTACTAGTTGAAATGATACAAAACCTTTATTACGCACATGCCTAGTATTCCAATGAATTCATACACATGTCAATGACATTCTTGTGCATAATATAACCTCACTTGGAGTTTTCCACATACTATTGGGTTTTTGGTCAGATAGAGACCATCATTCATATTTTTCTATCTACAGTGAGGGAAAAAAGTATTTGATCCCCTGCTGATTTTGTACGTTTGCCCACTGACAAAGAAATGATCAGTCTATCATTTTAATGGAAGGATTATTTGAACAGTGAGAGACAGAATAACAAAACAAAAATCCTGAAAAATGCATGTAGAAAATGTTATAAATTGATTTGCATTTTAATGAGGGAAATAAGTATTTGACCCCCTCTCAATCAGAAAGATTTCTGGCTCCCAGGTGTCTTTTATACAGGTAACGAGCTGAGATTAGGAGCACACTCTTAAAGGGAGTGCTCCTAATCTCAGTTTGTTACCTGTATAAAAGACACCTGTCCACAGAAGCAATCAATCAGATTCCAAACTCTCCACCATGGCCAAGACCAAAGAGCTCTCCAAGGATGTCAGGGACAAGATTGTAGACCTACACAAGGCTGGAATGGGCTACAAGACCATCGCCAAGCAGCTTGGTGAGAAGGTGATAACAGTTGGTGCGATTATTCGCAAATGGAAAAACACAAAAGAACTGTCAATCTCCCTCTGCCTGGGGCTCCTTGCAAGATCTCACCTCGTGGAGTTGCAATGATCATGAGAACGGTGAGGAATCAGCCCAGAACTACACGGGAGGATCTTGTCAATGATCTCAAGGCAGCTGGGACCATAGTCACCAAGAAAACAATTAGTAGCACACTACGCTGTGAAGGACTGAAATCCTGCAGCGCTCGCAAGGTCCCCCTGCTCAAGAAAGCACATATACAGGCCCGTCTGAAGTTTGGCAATGAACATCTGAATGATTCAGAGGAGAACTGGGTGAAAGTGTTGTGGTCAGATGAGACCAAAATCGAGCTCTTTGGCATCAACTCAACTCGCCGTGTTTGGAGGAGGAGGAATGCTGCCTATGACCCCAAGAACACCATCCCCACCGTCAAACATGGAGGTGGAAACATTATGCTTTGGGGGTGTTTTTCTGCTAAGGGGACAGGACAACTTCACCGCAACAAAGGGACGATGGACGTGGCCATGTACCGTCAAATCTTGGGTGAGAACCTCTTTCCCTCAGCCAGGGCATTGAAAATGGGTCGTGGATGGGTATTCCAGCATGACAATGACCCAAAACACACGGCCAAGGCAACAAAGGAGTGGCTCAAGAAGAAGCACATTAAGGTCCTGGAGTGGCCTAGCCAGTCTCCAGACCTTAATCCCATAGAAAATCTGTGGAGGGAGCTGAAGGTTCGAGTTGCCAAACGTCAGCCTCGAAACCTTAATGACTTGGAGAAGATCTGCAAAGAGGAGTGGGACAAAATCCCTCCTGAGATGTGTGCAAACCTGGTGGTCAACTACAAGAAATGTCTGACCTCTGTGATTGCCAACAAGGGTTTTGCCACCAAGTATTAAGTCATGTTTTGCAGAGGGGTCAAATACTTATTTCCCTCATTAAAATGCATATCAATTCATAACATTTTTGACATGCGTTTTTCTGGATGTTTTTGTTGTTATTCTGTCTCTCACTGTTCAAATAAACCTACCATTAAAATTATAGACTGATCATGTCTTTGTCAGTGGGCAAACGTACAAAATCAGCAGGGGATCAAATGCTTTTTTCCCTCACTGTACCAGTGTCAAATTATTCTGCAGTGAAGTGGAATCATTCATATATTATGGAAAAACCACATGATTTCAATTTTATTTCACATGTGAAACCATGTGTTTTTGGAACACTTCACATGCAATGATATTTCACATGATGTTCCACATGTGGGTTTTTCACGTGATCACATTACCTTCCACATGTGGATTCACAGGTCATGCCCTGCAAACATAAATGTATCGTTAGGATACACACACAAACAGTGCTTTTAACATAGTGTTTTTTCAACTGAAATATTTGACACACTTTGACATACATGATTACATTGTGTATGTTTATTTATACAGTCATTATTATTCAACATGTACTCACCTGGGATATGATCTCACAACCTCTTGGTTAACAGCATTCCGATTTTCTTGCTACTCCACTGTCTGTGTCAATGACTGATTTCACCTGTATTTCCTACACTTTTACACTTCAAAGTAAATCTCAGCTTTGTTACAAATACACTCAAGAAAAACTATTATATTTATCATAGTGATTCAGGTGTAACATTTAAATAGAATAATATGCCCCACCAACATTAGACAACTATACAGAAAACGCTCAAATTGCTGAAATAAGTAAATGAAATCATTGATGAGAGAATAGTCATATTAACTGATAACTAAAATAGCAGTGCAGATGGCACTGATGTATTATAGGTAATGAATGTCTGGGGGAATGATACAGACTATGGTGCAGCAGAAAGATCAACGTACCCCAAATGTCACTGATTAAAGATGTGTTTTACTATTTTAGCTGAACAGCATACCACTTACTGTAAAACCCCATATCATTTCATTCCCTTACCAAAAAAACACCTTTCACATGTCAAATTTGCAGTTTCATGTGTCAAATTTGCAGTTTCATGTGTGAAATCACATTTTCACGTGAAAAACGTTCACATGTTAAAATAAGTGCTGAGCGATTAACCGAAATGTCAGTTAGTTTTCGTTTTTTAAACAACTAATTGACCAACAGCTGTTCAATTATTTGAATTCCATTTAGTTCTTCTTTTTTCTGTGAGCTCAATGCACACATTGCACAGTTTCTCTAGATATAAATCAGATCCAGCCTGAACTGTGTGATGTAGTAGGGAGTTGTAGTTTCAACAGGCTAATATTCGACATAGTTTAGGGCAAAAAACATGGTAATCTCTTTCTTTTACGCCTGCTACGTTAGGTTAGTGTGGGTCAGACACGGAGATGGAGAAAAGAGACAGAAGACTGCGCGATCGAGAGGGATAGAGAGCAGTTGCTTCGCGAGTTATCGCTACCTGAAAGTACAAGTGATTGATAGTTGGTATTTAGCAGTCATAAAAGTATGCCTTATACTAAAATAGTGATTTTGTCAGACAGCATAGGTAGCTCTATAGAGATGAGATGATGACTTGGAATTAAATAATAAAGTAATCAAATAAATGTAATGTAATATACACAACAACTGAAATATTTTATTAAAGTAATGTGAATGAATGATGGTTAATAAGTGATAAGCAGTAATGGGCAGTCACTACCATCAGGTAGCTTAGTGGGTAAGAGCGTTGTGCCAGTAACCGAAAGGTCGCTGGTTCTAATCCCCGAGCCGACTAGGTGAAAAATCTGTTGATGTACCCTTAAGCAAGGCACTTAACCCTAATTGCTCCTGTAAGTCGCTCTGGATAAGAGCGTCTGCTAAATGACGTAAATGTAATTCTGTGTTGTTACAGCATTCAACTTACATAGTACATTTAATGTAAAAAATAAATAATCAAAACCGAAGTTGAAAACTGCGATTATTTTTTAATAATCTAACCGAAACCGAACCGACCTCAAATCAGCACTACTTAAAATCTATATCTCAAATGTGGAATTACATTTTCACATGTGAAAAACTTATCACATTAACTTGACATAAGATCACTTGAAATTCATGTGTTTTTTCTGTATGGGTACTGTTTTATTAAGCCTGGTGCTTCGCAATGGATGCTGCCAATATTATCAATGCCAAAAGCCATTCTGAATGAGAGTATTTTTATTGTCTCTGAAAATTATTTACAATCTTTGCATTAATTGAGGATAGCAAGTGGTGATTTGAGATCCACTTTGTGGTCAAAGTGGTCTCTCTCTGCCCAGGCCGACCAGCTCAGGTCGAAAGCCTTAATCTGACTCTGCCTAAATCTGAGGTCAGGGAGCCACTGTAGCAAGCATAATGTGTCTATTACTGTTCCCAGTGTGGAACTGGGACATATTATGGAGACTAATGGACAGGCCAGGGTCTGTAAGGTATAGCTTCCACACTGCAACTGTACAAAAACAGACGGACAGACTGGAGGCATGAGAGATCAGAGAAGATCAGAGGAGATCAGATCAGAGGAGAGGAGAGGAGAATGGAGTCATGTTCTCTCACATACGTTTCAAGACACTGGAAAATGGTTCACAATGAGTGCCTATACAGTACATGTAGCATAGGAATGCAAGACAATGTGCAAATGCAGTATGTTAGTGATATGAGTTGTGTTTAGACTACACACCAAAGGGTTAACGGCATGTGAACAAAGATCTCTATTGAATCTATTTATACAGCACAGTACGTTCTGCTCTGATGTTTACTATGTGTCTCCATGCTTCAGCCTCTGAGGCTCTAAGCTTCTTCCTCATTTTGTAAATATCAATTTTCATGCTAAGGCACCGAGTTGTGGAGGGGCCTTGGGAAATAGAGGGGGGTGTTGGAGGGAGACACAGCCGCTGCAGCGCCACGCAGCAGCTACTGGAGTTTGACTCAGGTGCCACTTGAGCAAAATTGAAGTGCTTGAGAGATTAGGTGGATTTCACAGGAATAGGGTCTGAGTGGGGTTGCATGGCCTGTGCCCAGCGGAGGGGAGAGTACTTACAGCACTATCATCAGGGGGAGAGGATTAGGTGACTTCAGCTGCATGCTTATTAGTGAGATATTGGTGATGGGTGAAACCTGGATATGGCTCGTGGGGACATCGCCACTGGGGTCTCAGGGTGAGCGCTGACTAGTACCTTCATGTGCTGGAATGACACAAACAGCTTTATAATTCACATCTTAGACAGCAACCTGTTTTGAGTTTAGGTTTTGAATGTTAACACGTCAAAGCACTAATGCATACAGTACAGTATTAGATGTATTTTCTTTACACCACAGTATTTCTTAAGGCCTACTGTCTTCATGTGCTTTCCTTGCAGACTCGTGTCCTGTCCTGTGCAGTGGGAATGGAGATTATGAGAAAGGTTACTGCCAGTGTCACCCGGGCTGGAAGGGCCCAGAGTGTGACATCCAGGAGGACCAGTGCATCGATCCCACCTGCTCCAACCACGGCACCTGTGTCAACGGCATCTGCATGTGCAGCCCAGCCTACAAGGGCAACAACTGTGAACAAGGCAAGGATCCTGTCCTAATAATAATCATTATCACTATTGACACAGGCAAAGGGATAGGATACAGTTGCATTTAGCCAAAGAGGTTTGGTACATCCCATTCCCATAGTGCAACAGAGGCATGCAACTGCATTTTGTTTAAAACCAGAAAAGCCACTAGTTGTTAGTTCAGGGCTCTAACCACTAGCCTAACCAGTGTTCTGTTTGTTGTTGGGTTTTGCACAAGGACACACCAAAGTGTTTGCTAGACTGTCTGATTAGGCCTACTATTTAACGACAGCAACAATAAATCCAGTATCCTCCTTTCACATCATTTTAATTATGGGGAGAGTTTTTGTGTGCAAAATCAGATTGACCCAATAGATTATCCTCTACATACACACAAACAGCCGCTCCCCGCTTTTCATGCACGTCATGAAGAATGCTTAGGATGAAACAGCCAAATCAATTGATTGTCCTTAGGTAGTTGTATCCAGTGGGGTAATTATTGGCTTTGTCTGAGATATCCGTGCTAGAGAATAACCTTGAGCCAATGAGCCTGTGACTAGGATCCAGCCTGCAAGCCTTGTGGTAATTACTGTTAACACTGCATACATTTTTCTTTTTTCTTTTTTGTAGCGTGCATTAGTTGGGTGGGTGGGGTTGTTCTGAAGTGTATCAATAACTAAATGGGATCAATTAGCTCCAGACATGGATTGAAGCTGTTTATTGTTCATTCTTTATGAGAATCTTGTGTAAAAGCTGCAGACGTTTCCATGTTCTTGTTGTAGATGGCCATGTTTTCCTCACGGTGCGACAGGTTCTCCGTAATAAACCATTCACTGCTAGGACACGCTGTTCTCGCAAGGTTGCAGTGACACTGTTAGAATAAACACCACTGAAGTACACAGACAATGTGTTAAATCAGCTAGGTGTGATGGGGGTAGTTTGTGTCAGTACCTACCCATAGAGGACAGATGTGATGGAGGTAGTTTGTGTCAGTACCCACCCATAGAGGACAGATGTGATGGAGGTAGTTTGTGTCAGTACCTACCCATAGAGGACAGATGTGATGGAGGTAGTTTGTGTCAGTACCTCTACCCATAGAGGAAAGATGTGATGGAGGTAGTTTGTGTCAGTACCTCTACCCATAGAGGAAAGGAAATGCAGAAGCTGAGATGATTCAAACAATATACAGATGGTCAGGGAGGGGCATGAAATATTTACTCTGACACTTTTTCTCTCACCCTCTCTTTCTCACTGTCTCGCTCACTCGCTCCCTCCCTCCACCCCCCTCTCTCTCACCTCCCTGGTTCTGCATGACCAGTGGACTGCCTGGAGCCTCAGTGTTCTGGCCATGGTGTGTGTGTGAAGGGGGAGTGCTTGTGTTCAACGGGGTGGGGCGGCCCAGACTGCGAGAGCCCCCTGCCAGCATGCCAGGAGCAGTGTTCAGGCCATGGGAAATACCTGCCAGACTCTGGCACCTGTACCTGTGATTCCAGCTGGACTGGCTCCGACTGCTCCACCGGTGAGTACAAGAACCATGACGTACATACAACCTACATACCAAAAATAGAGATATAATAATAATAATAATATGCCATTTAGCAGACGCTTTTATCCAAAGCGACTTACAGTCATGCGTGCATACATTTTTTGTGTATGGGTGGTCCCGGGGATCGAACCCACTACCTTGGCGTTTCAAGCGCCGTGCTCTACCAGCTGAGCTACAGAGGACCACATATACATGTCTCTTATCTCTATACAATATGTTTTTTCCTACATACAGACACACACACACCTTGAATACAGTGCCTTCAGACTGTTACCTCACATAAACCATTACCTCACATTCAGAGTCGGAATGTCCACTCCCAGACACTTAGAGGGGAGCCTTTGGAGTTCAATCACGTCCTTAACCTCTCATAAAAGGTTTACGTGTAGTCAGGCCCACACTCTTTTCTGTCTGGCTGTGATTTAAATGACTAAATTGTGTCTGCTGTACATGACTCTAACTTTTGGTCTTACCTCTGACTGAGTAACACAGACCCTGGCCAATGTGTTTTTCTGCTTGTAATGATCTGCCAGCTCCTAGCAGAAGGAGACCTTCACACACCCAGCAGCCGATCAGACAAATTAGCAATCATTTCTCTGACACGCTGCGTGTAAATTGGACTGCGCACCATGGCTTCCAATTCAGCCAAATGCACTTCTTGTTTCTTTATCAATACTTGCATATGCATTGTTGAATACTAATGATTGTTTTAAAAGTATTCATTTTTTAATATGCCTCCTCCAGGGAACAATAATGCCATGGTTAGGATTCATCCCGAGATATGCTCCTTTGTACAATTTAAATCTGTTATTTTTAGCATAGGTGTTATCTGTTCATCAGATTTTTGTATTTAGGTCACCTTTCTGGCTGTTTATACAGAACAAATTAAAGTTTTCTTCATTGCATTGGATTAACATTCACTTCACTGCTACACTTGAAAAAGTAGAAAATGTCTATGCATTTAATTTGACTGTCTGCCTCCAGATGAAAAAGTCTGCACTTCATTTGACGTGGGAACTTGTTCGTATTTATTCATGGTGAACGGCTGTCTCTTACTGAAATGTTTAATTTATTTATTTGAGCCAGAGGACATTGATAACAAGAGTTGCCACCAATGACTGTATGGTTCCTACTGATAACAGACAGCGTTAACACAGTGGTTGTAGAAACATCTCAGAGAAGCTGTTCTGACTGAGGCTGTGGGAGATGATGCTGGATATTCTTCTGTGCTGTTTGTCATCTTTGTCTAAAAGTTGTTTTGGTTTTGTTCAGCCAGTGATACAAATGTAGATCTCATTATAGGGTTGTGACGGTCAATGTTTTTTGGGTGTTTTGGCAAAGCAGGAAGTAAAATATGTGCTAAAATATGTGCTGTGATATGTTGATTCAACTCAACTGATATTACAAAAAAATACATTCCATTGCATGAGCCACATCAGTTAACATAATTTGAACATTCTACATTACCATAGAAATTACTACATCACAATACCAGGCATCCATTGCGAGTGTACCCATGAGTTTACCAGTCAAATTGCCAGGGTAGAGGTTCCATGCTCGTTTTAGTCATTCAATTTCTATGTGTGCCATAGCCGCGGCAAAATGTTTTGAGTTGGGGGTGCTGACCACGGTGGGCTGGACAGCAACATAATAAACTAAAGCACTGATCATTGTGAACGAACTCAGAATGACTGCTAAGGCTTTATCAATCAATTAAATAGGTAGCCTAGCTTACAAAACTAAAACAATCCGTTCAAATCAAAAGGCCTGATTAACATGACATCAAAAACGCAGCCACATCCCGAGTCCCCGGTGCCGACACATTCAGAAATCAAAAGATGGTTTAGTATTTAGTTTAAAAGCTCTGACGAAGGCCAAGAGAACATGAAACACTTTTCAGTGAGAAAACAGAAATCCACTTCGGGTAAAAAAATTAATGTAAAATGCATCATATCAGCTGTATTTTGAAAGTTATTTATCTTGACAACTTGATTGCTGACATGGAAAATATTTTGGGACTATATCAATGGACTAATGGAAAATGCCAAAAGTTCGTTTTTGGGTGGAGTTTTCCTTTAAGCTCACAAATCAAACACAGGGCAAAAAGAAAACCACATTTTGCGGGTGTTATCTAAAAAGGGAACAATTTTAGCAATATTAAGAAAATGACACCCTGTTAAAAGGGAGAAAACGGTGAGCAGTCATATTGATGAGAAAGACGCACCTGTTTCGGTAGCACGAGTCGCAGCTCAAATGGTGCTTGCAGTCCTTCATTTAGCAAATTAGGTAGGCTACCTAATAGCTAAAGATGTTCTATTATATTGCTCAGTGTCACGTCCGTCGTCTAAAGGATTGGACCAAGGTGCAGCGTGGTATGCGTACATAGTCGTTTATTATATAAACACAGACAAAATAACAAAATCCACCAGAACGTGACGTTCAAAAGGCTAAACATCCAACAAGCCAAACTGAAACAAGATCCCACAACATAGGTAGGCAAAATGGCTACCTAAGTATGATCCCCAATCAGAGACAACGATCGACAGCTGCCTCTGATTGGGAACCACACCCGGCCAACATAGAAATACACATTCTAGATAATCACATAGAAATTCACACCCTGACCAAACCAACTAGAGATCTCTATGTCAGGGCGTGACAGTACCCCACCCCCAAAGGTGCGGACTCCGGCCGCAAAACCTGACTCATTAGGGGAGGGTCCGGGTGGGCATTTAGCCTCGGTGGCGGCTCCGGCTCCGGGCGCGACGTCAAACTTACTGACCTCTCCTTTTCTGGCTCCCCGTTGCACGCCTGGTCCGGTCTGGACCCTGGTGTGGGAGGCCCCGACCCTGGAGAGGGGCTGACGTCTGGGCCTGGACCGGAAATCCTCCCGTGATGCACCAAGCCCTGTCTGGACCCTGGTGTGGGAGGCCCCGACCCTGGAGAGGGGTTGACGTCTGGTTCTGGCTCTGCAGTCCTGTCTGGACCCTGGTGTGGGAGAGTAGACGACCGGACCCGGACTCGGCACCGGTGGAGCGGACTGCTCTGGCACTGGAGTGGAGCAGCTGACCGGAGCTGTGAAGGCGCCCTGGCGGCACAGTGCGCAACGCCGGTGCATAGCCTGGTGCCTGCACGGTCACACACTCCTCAAAGCGAGTGCGGGGAGTTGGCTCTGCTCTGCAACCTGGCTTCGCCAGCATCTGCTCTAAGTACTGAACTCTCTGCTGCTGAAGGGTTAACTCCTCCCTCAGCTCCTCCAGTGCATCCACTGACTCCATCTCCCTGTGAGCCTCCTGTAGCACCTCCCTCTGAAGGGAGATCTCCTGCTCCCTCTGAGCTAACAGCCCCCGTAAGGTGGTGGTCTCCTCTCCTCTCTGTGCTGAGCTGCAGGTCTTGGAGGGCCTCTACTATAGCGGCCTCCTCCTCCTCCACAGTCAGCCTTTTCACGGCCTCCTGCTGCTTCGTCGACCACCCCGTGTGCCCCCCCCCCCAGGTTGCCTCTCGGGCCTCCTTCGTCGTTGTGCACTTCGGCGTCGCCGTTGATCCTCTCCTGCCTGGGCTTCTTCCTTTGCCCAGGGTCCTTTACCGGCTAATATCTCCTCCCATGTCCAAAATGTCTTCCCCACCTGTGTCCAGGGTGTCTGCTCCTCCTGGCCACACTGCTTGGTCCGTTGGTGGTGGGATCATCTGTCATGTCCGTCGTCTAAAGGATTGGACCAAGGTGCAGCGTGGTATGCGTCGTTTATTATATAAACACAGACGAATAACAAAATCCACCAGAACGTGAAGTTCAAAAGGCTAAACCTCCAACAAGCCAAACTGAAACAAGATCCCACAACATAGGTAGGCAAAATGGCTACCTAAGTATGATCCCCAATCAGAGACAACGATCGACAGCTGCCTCTGATTGGGAACCACACCCGGCCAACATAGAAATACACATTCTAGATAATCACATAGAAATTCACACCCTGACCAAACCAACTAGAGATCTCTATGTCAGGGCGTGACACTCAGCTCAGTTTCTGATTAATAAACAATAACATTCAAGTAAAACCCAGCCCTGAAACGAAAATAATTTACACATCATTTCATAGGAAAAAACACGTCATTGGCACAAAGCAGGCAGTTCGGTTTTGTCACTTCAACCCCAAATATATCATACTTTGACTTAAACGGTGACTTATTGCCCGACCATCCCGTCTTCAGTCAGCTGTTCGTTCCACACCATTAAAAAATATAGATTCTTATTTTTAACGGTTATGACTGTTATTTTATTTTCATGACGGTCTTCATCCATAACCGTCGGTTACACGGTTATACGGTACTTGTGCCAGCCTAACTCATGTAGCAGCCAGATCACGAAGGAGATCAGGTTCCTCAGTAGCCCAGGGACAGGTTTACAGATTAGCTGCCTTCTGCTAGCTGCCACACAACAACACACTAATACACCCTACTGCTGGTGTTACCAATTATGATATACAGTGAGGGAAAAAAGTATTTGATCCCCTGCTGATTTTGTACGTTTGCCCACTGACAAAGAAATTATCAGTCTATAATTTTAATGTTAGGTTTATTTGAACAGTGAGAGACAGAATAACAACGAAAAAAATCCAGAAAAACGCATGTCAAAAATGTTATAAATTGATTTGCATTTTAATGAGGGAAATAAGTATTTCACCCCCTCTCAATCAGAAAGATTTCTGGCTCCGAGGTGTCTTTTATACAGGTAACGAGCTGAGATTAGGAGCACACTCTTAAAGGGAGTGCTCCTAATCTCAGCTCGTTACCTGTATAAAAGACACCTGTCCACAGAAACAATCAATCAATCAGATTCCAAATTCTCCACCATGGCCAAGACCAAAGAGCTCTCCAAGGATGTCAGGGACAAGATTGTAGACCTACACAAGGCTGGAATGGGCTACAAGACCATCGCCAAGCAGCTTGGTGAGAAGGTGACAACAGTTGGTGCGATTATTCGCATATGGAAGAAATACAAAATAACTGTCAATCTCCCTCTGCCTGGGGCTCCATGCAAGACCTCACCTCGTGGAGTTGCGATGATCATGAGAACGGTGATGAATCAGCCCAGAACTACACGGGAGGATCTTGTCAATGATCTCAAGGCAGCTGGGACCATAGTCACCAAGAAAACAATTGGTAACACACTACGCCGTGAAGGACTGAAATCCTGCAGCGCCCGCAAGGTCCCCCTGCTCAAGAAAGCACATATACATGCCCATCTGAAGTTTGCCAATGAACATCTGAATGATTCAGAGGAGAACTCGGTGAAAGTGTTGTGGTCGATGAAACCAAAATGGAGCTCTTTGGCATCAACTCAACTTGCCGTGTTTGGAGGAGGAGGAATGCTGCCTATGACCCCAAGAACACCATCCCCACCGTCAAACATGGAGGTGGAAACATTATGCTTTGGGGGTGTTTTTCTGCTAAGAGGACAGGACAACTTCACCGCATCAAAGGGACGATGGACAGGGCCAGGTACCATCAAATCTTGGGTGAGAACCTCCTTCCCTCAGCCAGGGCATTGAAAATGGGTCGTGGATGGGTATTCCAGCATGACAATGACCCAAAACAAGCGGTCAAGGCAACAAAGGAGTGGCTCAAGAAGAAGCACATTAAGGTCCTGGAGTGGCCTAGCCAGTCTCCAGACCTTAATCCCATAGAAAATCTGTGGAGGGAGCTGAAGGTTCGAGTTGCCAAACGTCAGCCTCGAAACCTTAATGACTTGGAGAAGATCTGCAAAGAGGAGTGGGACAAAATCCCTCCTGAGATGTGTGCAAACCTGGTGGCCAACTACAAGAAACATCTGACCTCTGTGATTGCCTACAAGGGTTTTGCCACCAAGTACTAAGTCATGTTTTGCAGAGGGGTCAAATACTTATTTCCCTCTTTAAAATGCAAAATCATTTTATAACATTTTTGACATGCGTTTTTCTGGATTTTTTTGTTGTTATTCTGTCTCTCACTGTTCAAATAAACCTACCATTAAAATTATAGACTGATCATTTCTTTGTCAGTGGGCAAACATACAAAATCAGCAGGGGATCAAATACTTTTTTCCCTCACTGTATATATGGAGAAGAATGGGAACACAGTGTCAATAAAATATTATGGAAGCCTCCACCCTTTAGATTATAGTCTGCCTGTCATATCAATTTCTGCTCATCTTCATATTATTAATGCTTCTGTTCCTAGAGTCAAGTAGTGCTACATGCCAAGCCTGTATTTAGGTTGGGTGAAACCCTGAGAGGTGGGCTGCATATTAAGACATTCCTCAAAAGGAAAAGTAATCCCTCTTTCTTCATTACTTTTCCTATCAATTATGTTTTCAGTGATGGCCAAAAGGCAAAACAGCACGTGTGGAGGTTATTTAGCTTTCCAATGAATTGAATCTTGGAGCAGTGTGGTGCTTCGGTTTCCATAACCATGAAAGAATTGTGCATTCACTCAACCCACACTTTTTTTCTAGCCTTCCAAAGCAAAGTTCAGTTTTTCGATCCAAAAGTGAAAATTGATTTTGTGTTCAGTCAAGTGAATGCAGAATTACTTGTAATGTTGACTGTGTGTGACTGTACTGACTATATCATTACAATGGAGTAAACCTACTGTAACCTGACTGTAACACAGTGAAGTAGTCTATATGTATCAATGTGTTGTTTGTGATTTTCTGAAACATAGAAATTCAAGCACATCGAGGATAATGGCAACATTCAACCGTTACTATAAAATTGTGTTAGACGGCAAACATGTTGAATTCCATTGTAAGCAGTTGCAGAGAAAAAATGAATAGAAATGTCATATACTTAATGGTAGAAAAATCGAGATTAATAAAATGCAAATGAAGTGGTTATGGCATGATTAAATATGATGGATATTTAAATGAGAATGCCTTTTTCATGTGTGGGGATAAGTGGCCTTTCAGCGCCCGCAGCTCTTTCTTCTCTCTGCTGATTGGCTACTTGCTGATAGGATGTACTCTCCGTATTCCACAGAAATTATTCATTGAATATCATTAAACCTCTAAAACTTTAAGCATTGAATGTATTATAACTGCACCTGCAGCACTCGACAGAGTTAGAAAGTATTGCCTGTTCTGTATTATAACAAACAATTTTCTATTCAAAATTCAAGTTTCATGTCATGAGTAGGTAGAGTTAAGAATAAGAATGGGGTTTTATAATATAACAACATATAATATTCCTTTTTAAAATATTCATTTTTTGAGTTCTATTAGATGAACTTGCAAGACTTGCAAGACAAGATTAGAGTCTAGGATCCTGAATTAATTCATCGGAAATGATCACAAGTATTTTGGGAGCAATAATGCAGCTGGCCTTTGACATGTCCATCTGGCCTGTGTAGAGGTGTACTGTCTGTTGCCCAGTGCAGTAAGACCCCTGCCTGTCTCTCTCTCTGTCCGTGTGCAGAGGTGTGTCCGGTGCCCTGCAGTGCCCACAGTGTGTGTGTGGGAGGGAAGTGCCAGTGTGAGGAGGGCTGGGAGGGGCCAGGCTGTGACCTGCAGGCCTGCCACCCCCGCTGCAAGGAGCATGGCCAGTGTAAGAACGGACAGTGTGAGTGCCACCCCGGCTGGGAGGGAGAACACTGCAGCATCGGTGAGTCCCGCCCCCCTGAGGACCAACACTACCACAGGAGGTTAATACACAGAGCGTGTAATGTGACTCTAGTAGCTATTGCTCTGTTTAGAAACCTAGGGGCTGATTTACTTTACCAAGACTTGATGGTGTTTTAGCATGTCTTAAACTGTGATCACGCTTTACTAATGTACTAATGAAAGATGTGTGAACCACTGATTTTTGCAGATACACATCAATGAATATGTACTCCATTTGAGTGCATATTTTCTATCACCACACATTGTAAATACTGTAGCAGTTTAGCAGACCATTAGCTATCCCAGTGAATCATCCATCTGCTGTATAATTTAGACACACAGTTGTCAGATGGAACACAGTCATTCTTGCCCGGTTATTCAATTCATCTGCTAGAAGAAAACAGGTACCAAACCTTGCTAGGCATTTAGAGGGAGCGAGGCGGGGTGTTTAGGAGGGTAATATGTTACCATGTGTCTTAGAGCCACTGGCTGGGGTTCAATGATGTCAGTGCCCTGCCTGTCTGTTATACAATTTATCCACTTCGTTGCTGTTATTTGAGAATGAAAACTCAGAGTAACAATGAAACTGTTGGTTGTGCCAGGCGCATTTTCCATCAGCCATGGCCTCTTCCCTAGAGTGGAGGCATTTTTATTTTCTTGCAACTGAATAATTTGCTCCCCAAGTTCGAAAGCACTCAATTAATGTGAGTACACCTTGATAGAACACTGAAGTTTGTCATCTGGGACTCATGGAATTGGGTACTGCCAAGTGACTGAAAAGCACATTTTATAAAAGAACCGGAAGATATTTTTTCACTTCAGAAATGCAAGAAAACAATCCTGTGAAATCGTTTCACTTGCCTTTAGAGATGTGGAATTGGAGATGGGCTCTGTGTCTCTGTGGATGTGTGAATCAAATCATAAAGCTTAGCTCCTGGCACGTTAATAGGCTGTAATTATCTCTTCATGTGCCTTGGTGCTAGCATATTTTCTCTGAGGCTCAGAAATCTAATCTCACACACTTTTTTCTTTCTTCCTTTTATCTTCATGTGGTATATAGCACATTACCTGGATCTCGTTGTTAAAGGTAAGATGCCCTCTCATTCTTTAGGATGGAATTGTTTCAAAGCATCAGGGGTTTTTGAATGGTATTCCTACTACCAAAGCACATTCATTGAGATGTTAATTAATTCTGAGGAGAAAGTATGATGCCCAAACCAATGGCAGATCATTCACCATATTCAATTTAATGTGAGATGGAATATAACAAAATATGTAACAAATGTTTTGGAATGGCCAGACATCTGGATTTTATGTAAATGAAAAGCGTAGCAGCATCTGTCCCCATCTCCTTAATCATGAGGCATGACTGGCAGTGTTCTGATGAACAGACTGTCTGTCTTCTCTCTCTCTCTCTCTCTCTCTCTCTCTCTCTCTCTCTCTCTCTCTCTCTCTCTCTCTCTCTCTCTCTCTCTCTCTCTCTCTCTCTCTCTCTCCGTCTCTCTCTCTCTCTCTCTCTCTCTCTCTCTCTCTCTCTCTCTTCTCTCTCTCTCTCTCTCTCTCTCTCTCTCTCTCTCCATCCATCCATCCATCCATCCATCCATCCATCCATCCATCCATCCAGACGGCTGTCCAGGCCTGTGCAATGGCCACGGTCGCTGCACCCTGGAACAGAGCGGGTGGCACTGTGTGTGCCAGGCGAGCTGGAGCGGCATGGGATGCAACGTCGTCATGGAGACCGAGTGTGATGACAACGCCGACAACGACGGAGGTAAGGTCCCTGTGGAGGGTGGCCTGTCTGTGGCTCAATAATGATTAATGACTTGACCTCCTTCGCCGGTGAAGGTCAGGAGGAGGAAATATTTAGGACTCCTCTTCTCCATCCCGACATCTGAGCCAACAAGCCTTTCCCGCTCGCTTCATTTTCCGTTTGTTAAATCTCACCACCGTAGTCGACATCGCTCACTACAGTAGTCGACATCGCTCACTACAGTAGTCGACATGGCTCTCAGACCAAGGAGACCTCTAGGTTTTCTCTCAGTGATTTGCTGATGGTATGCTGCCTGCTGCTTGGCTCCTCTAAAGCATTAATGCTTGAGTGTAGAGCCCCTGGTGTTCCAGTGAACAAGGAACCAGATATGAGGCTTTGGAGCTCAGGTTCAAGGCCCATGTCTTTGAGGGGAACATGTAAAAGATGGAGAAAGATACCCAACAGTGGAGGCCATTTGTGCAAGAAAGGGTAACCAATTGTGCACTGACTTACATCACGTTTTTGATGTTTCAAAGTTTAAAAAGTTTACAATGATGTAATATGAAGTGTAATACATGTAATGTATGAAAATGTATGCACTCACTAACTGTAAGTCGCTCTGGATAAGAGCGTCTGCTAAATTACTAAAATGTAAAAATGTAAATGTAATGTAATGTAGTAGTTACTGTAGTTTAGTATGATACATTAACTATCATACTTCTGTATGAGCACCATGTCTCATCTAGTGCATGAGTTAGCTTCTTATGTAAATGTATATTTTTATATGAGGTGTAAATTGGCTACATTAGACTGCATTTATTTCCTTTGTGTGGCAAAGGAGATAAAAACATAATACTGTGTACTGTACAGTCAAGCTACCATCTGGAAAAAGGTTTGGTTTGGAATGTTCCGTGATCTCCTTTACCTAAAAAAAAAAGTTATGTTTACGATAATGCAATATGAGGTGTAATATGAAGAAATTAAGAGTAATTATGAATACTGTACATTCATTTAAAGTGACAGTCTACAAAATGTGTGAGCACTATGTCTCATCCAATTCCACTACATGAGTCAGATGTTTAAAGGTGCAATATGCATTACCTGGTTGCTAAAATTCTAATAGTTTGCCTAATATCAGTTTATGTAACAAAACAGAGAATCATTTTACCAGCTAAACCGCTGTGAAATATATTTTCATTAACCAAAAATATTGTATTTTGAGCTGTTTGAAGCTGGTGTACAAAACCGAAAGTAATAGAGCAAAAACTAAACTTAAGAACGGGAAGCATAGAAATAGCGCACATGGAATAGACTTGCTTTCAATGAGAATGACAGATCTATAACTCACATTTCTATGTGAATTTGGTCAGGTCGCCCAAAAAGTTACATATTGCAGCTTTAATTCAAATGTACTTCTTTATATAAGGTGCTAATTGGCTACATTCGACAGTGTTTAGTTCCTTTGTATGTGCAGACAGAAGTGGTAGAGAAGGTAGGAGCATAATATTGTGTACAGTCTGTTAGTCTAGCCAGTGTCTGGAAACAGGGAGATGTGTTTGGAGCGTGAACTCTTTACCTCACCAACTCCTCATGTTTTCTCAGCTCTGGCTGGTAGCACTTAAAAGAAACCCCATTATCTCTTACCTTCAGAGTTCTTAATCAGGTTCTTTATCCCAGTAAGCCTCTAGATAGAAGCATGCCAGCTTCTTCACTTTTACAAGTCTTCCTTCTTTGATAATTTTCACAGTTGCTCTAGCCGTGTTAGTGTGATAAGGCAAATAGTGCAGCGTGATGTTAATGTATCTTTATTTGTTTGTAGATCATAAATCATGCACTGTATTTTCTTTCCTAACCCAATACAATAGAAAACAAATTCACAATTCAGCTCAGTAATGTGCCGGCAGCCTGGGCAGTAAACCTTCACTGTATTATTCTACAACCTAATTTAGTTTACACACGGCAGCTATGTCTCTCCCTTCAAAGATGTGACAACGCATTGTGTGTGAGTTCTTATGACTGATGGGAATCTTGGATGATGTACAGGCCTGCCTTTAATGTAGAGGGAAATTGTACGAGGCTCAAATTAGCCAGACACTCCAACAAAGGAGAGGAGGAAATAATCACCCCATGCCAATTACTTCCCCAAGCCAATATATATACGTCAGAATCCCAGAACACATTCCTATTTTCATCTCATCTGAACTCCATTAGAAATGCCATTTATATTCCAAATGAGGCCTCGTCAAAGGCATTGGTTGGAAAAACTAAATGGCAAATGATCACCTGGAAAAGAGCAGCGATTAAGAGAAAATATAATTACTTTTCCAACCAGCTGTAAATGAGTTGCTATAACCACAAATGACCATCCAGCCGTCATTATGAACACGGTGGCTGTGCACTGCTGATGCACAGTGCTTTGTTTTACTTTTGCAGCTGTGTATTAATTATACAACATTAGTTCAGGAACATGGATAGCAATTCTCCCCAAAATAAAAATGGTCTTCATTATTTTATTGCATTGTTTGTTTGTTGATTATGTAAATAAGGTGGCAATGGCAGGTACAGTAGAGCTGTCATTGTTCTCAGATACAGTATTGTAGTGAGATGTTCTATACAGTATTGTAGTGAGATGTTCTATACAGTATTGTAGTGAGATGTTCTATACAGTATTGTAGTGAGATGTTCTATACAGTATTGTAGTGAGATGTTCTATACAGTATTGTAGTGAGATGTTCTATACAGTATTGTAGTGAGATGTTCTATACAGTATTGTAACCAGCAAAATGAATACATTGTGGTTATGACCGATGCAGTTAGAGTCAGCCCTGCCAACCAGCTAATAGCTGGGCACAATGCCTCCCTTACTTTGGCAGTCCAGCGCTGAATGGGGATGTTATGGCTCTTGGCCCAGTAGTTATGCTGTTGTGTTGGTCAGTCGTTTACTGAATACATTTTCTTTGGCACATACTGTATATAACTTATTATTTTCTGTTAGCGTACCTAAAATGTTATTCTGAATTAATTCCACATTGCACATATTTGCCATCTGTGGTATGTAACCATACTTTTAAAACGTGTTATGAGAAAGCGTTGCGGAAGGTGTGTACAAAAGACCAAGAGACATTATTCTGCTTTTAATTACCAATGTACTTTTGCTGTTGTGTGGCATTCAATGCCAGCAATGTGATGAATGTCAACATTCACTTAAGCACTATTGAAACTGTCTGTCTGAGAGTAGTCTATGGATTTAATGGACCCAACGTGCTACCGTTGCTCAGACCCACACATATTAGACATTGAAGAGAACATCGTTAAGAAGGTACTGTACTGCAATTATAGAGCAGCAAGTAAGTACAGTATTAAGACTGTATAAATCAGAGGGGCATTTTGCTCCTTGTCAGGTATGAACTATATATATTGTTATTCATCAGCTTCTCCACATTTTTCAAGTTTAAATCATCACAGCTAAGCCATGTCTAACTGATCTTCATTACTGTGTGTTAAAGGCGCAATAGGGTGGGGTGGATGTACTTCCACTTAGGAGAAACATTATCCATTTATTCTATACATTTGGAAATTTGAGAGATTTCACAAGGTCCTCTGTGCTTTGAATGTTATTTATCTCTTCTACCTGTATAACATTGGGAGCCTGAGATACTGTACAGTGTAGACTTAGCTGTGATGATGTTGTGTTATTGTGTTGGTGTAGATGGCCTGACGGACTGTGTGGACCCGGACTGCTGCCAGCAGCCTAGCTGTCACAGTGGGCCTCTGTGCCAGGGCTCCCCGGACCCCCTGGACCTAATTCAGCAGAGCCAGACCCCCTACGCCTCGCTCCTCTCACGCCTCTTCTACGACCGCGTACGCTTCCTGATTGGAAAGGACAGCACCCATGTCTTCCCTGGAGACATCCCATTCGACAGCAGGTAGAATAGATAATATAGCGGATACAATTTACCTCTGGTACCGCAGGAATAGCTTGTTATATACTGTAGAGTTATAATTGCCACTGAAGTACAGATCCCTTTATACACAGCTATTTGTAGGCTACCTCAGTACTCTGTATGGATATAGCGCATTTGCCTTTGTCAACTGAACTGGAAAACACTGTAACTTGTTATAGTATGATTAAAATACCCAGTGAACTAAAACCTTGCTCTCTCCTAGCCGAGCCTCAGTGATCCGGGGGCAGGTGGTGGCACTAGATGGGACCCCACTGGTGGGGGTGAACATCAGCTTCCAGCAGTACCCTGCATTTGGCTTCTCTGTCAGTCGCCAGGATGGCAGGTAGGTAGACAGTGGTCTGGTATTGTATTGTGGATACTAGAGTAAATTGGCTTAATATGATGCTTTGCCACTGCTGATTGTGTGTTTGTGTGGATTCTGTTCCTGTAGTTTTGACCTGGTGGCTGCAGGGGGCATCTCAGTCTCCCTGATTTTCCAGAGGGCTCCCTTCCTCATGCAGAAACGCACCGTCTGGTTACCATGGAACCAGTTTGTGGTTGTAGAGAAGGTCACCATGGCGAGGGTGGAGTCTCGCCCCCCTGTGTGTGACCTGAAGAACCTGGTCAGTCCGTACCCCATCGTCCTCCCCTCCCCTCTCATCCGCTTCGCCAGCACCTGTGAGGAGCGAGGCCCAGCCATCCCTGAGCTGCAGGTACAGTAGATGGCCCACTCACCAGTCAGTAAATACATCATATATACAGTCCCAGGGGTGCTCACTCAGCTTTCAATTACCACCTATACTAAACCATTTCCATAATGCATACATCTCTACTCACAATATCATTTTATGATGACTTCCAGGTGTACATAAAAAATTGCTGCATTTTTCTTTATTCTGGATCCTGTCTAATTTTCACCTGGCTCATATTGTACCTGTGAAATCATCTTAGAATCTCACACTAATCAGTTGCCGGGGCGATTTATTCCCAGAGCTGCCATCTGCTCGCTATCTTCTACCTCGATCCCACTGATATTCCTACCTCAGCTTTGGAACTGTGTTTTGCAGATTGTAGACGTCCTAGTTTGTTGTGGGAGATAATGAAACTGATAGTGATTTTAATGAGGACCCAGTTCAGAGTGATTGAAGCTGTGAGCAATGAAGGGTGGGAGTGGCGGTTAGATCATCAGCAGTAATTAAAATGTCCTCCTGTACACTGCTAATGATATAGAATATAGATGTAATTTAGTATTCCAGGGGCATCGTGTATGCAGAATAAAGTTCCAAAAGTGTAAAAAGTATAGTGTTATTTTGATTTGATTTTAAGAAAGTGATATATAGTACTTGCTAGTATATCTTGGAGCGAGTACAAACACCAGGTGATCAAAGATACTTTACTGAAAAACTTGAAAGATGTTTCTATACGTAGTTTGTATCCTCTGGCTTGTGAAGCCTTTCCAACTGCTGGTAACCAATAGCACATAATAACAGCAGCCAAAATCCTTTCTCCTCCTCCTCAGGCTGTCCAAGAGGAGATCACCATCCCTGGCAGTTTCTTAAAGCTCAGCTACCTGAGCACTCGCTCCCCTGGCTACAAGTCTCTGTTCCGCATCATCTTAACCCACTCCATCATCCCCACTGGCCTGGCTAAGGTGCACGTGTCCACCGCCATCGAGGGACGACTCTTTCAGAAGTGGTTCCCTGCCGCCCCCAACCTGGTCTACGTCCTGGCCTGGAACAAGACTGATGTCTATGGGCAGAAAGTGGTGGGCCTGGCCCAAGCTCTGGGTAAGATCATATGGAGCATTTGAATCATGTCTTGTCAAGTACATTCAGATTCCCTGTAGAACAAATATAATGTGCTGTATTTCACTCCTTTGACAATTTTCACCCAAGGGATGAAAGCAAGCAACATGCTCCATGGGTAACTGTAGCTAATGGCAAATAAAAATCTCTAAAGACAGTATTACATTCAGCAGTGTAACAGCAGAACAGCATGTTACTTCTGTTCTACTTTATTTTTAGATAATACAATCAAACAGAGCTCTAAAGACATTGTCAGTGGGTTAATGGTCAGTAGTATGAAAGACTGAGAGATTTTTCAAGGGCCACATATAAGCTTTTTTTATCAGTGGTTGATTTAGTGTGCTGGCTGCCTTTTGGGAACTACAGCTCTGATGCATTGTTGCAATTTGTCTTAATGGAGGGAGTGTTACAAATCTAACTGGAACAGAAAGCAGGGGCCACTCTTATCTCTTTCACACACTGTGAGGATGTCTCTCTTGATTGCTCTCCATGCCTTGCATTACTGTCAGATAGCAGAGTGTTTCTTGATTGCCTGGCTGGTGTGCATGTGTTGGAATCCTTTCTCACTGACTACACAGTTTAATCTGTGTGTATTCAGCTCCTTGATGGTGGATATGAGGCACTGTGGTTAATAGTCTGTGATATAAATAGGAAGTCCTGGAGATGTTACGGCCCGTTTATCTATAAATAACATCGAACACATGGCACAATTAGAAACGACATCCAAACTAAATTGAAATTCAAAACACATTTTGTTATGGTGCAAACATATTTTCATCCACACTAAATAAACCAGAGGAAGAGATAAGGAGATGAAGAAAGGCTCTAATTTATTCATTTATCTTTATGTACCAGTGGGAATTGAGCTCAACCTCAAACCTCTCCTCCTTACTCACCCTCTCTCTCTCCGTTGCCGATAGTAACAGGCTGATCTATCATGGTGACACAAGCAGGAGCCTGTAGCTACTCTGTGTGTAACTGACTATGTCCTGCTTGTTGTGTGTGTGTGTGTGTGTGTGTGTGTGTGTGTGTGTGTGTGTGTGTGTGTGTGTTTGCGTGTGCTTCCTTCGCATGTGTTTGTGTGGGTGTATGTGTGCGTGTGGGTGGGTGGGTGAGAGAGGAAGAGAGAGACGTTGAGACAGAGCAAGAGAATTGTGTGAGCGTGCACACATACTGGTGGATGCAGCAGAGAATGACGGTATCAGTGATGCATTAAAAAGGCTCGGGAGAATCGCAGACTGTTAGCACATACCCAGGCTGCGCTATAACCACAATGCTGCATCGTTCCAGCCTCTGCCTGGACCACTGCAACTCTAGACTCACTGCAATGTTACACTGTGTAGGAGCTAGTCGCACCATCACAAAAGCGTTAGGGGTTGTTGTTTTCCAGGTGTGTCTCATTGTAATTGCAATAACAACAGGGTAATGAATGCATGACAATTGGTGGCGTCACATTAACAGCCAGTGGTCTCTTGTGTTCCAGTCTCTGTAGGCTATGAGTATGAGTCATGTGCTGACTACATTGTGTGGGAGAGAAGGATGGCTCAGCTGCAGGGCTTTGAGATGATTGCCTCCAACCTGGGGGGCTGGTCCCTGGACAAGCACCACATCCTTAACCTCCAAAGCGGTGAGGGCTCTGCCTGTTCCTCTGTGTCCCACTTCCATTCAACAGTACTGTACCCTCAGCCCACCTGACCTGACACTATTTCATACCTGGTTATCCAGTAGGAATATTGTGAAGACATTCTTGCCAAACTATCATTGTTTTAACTTCCGTTTCAAATGACTTGATATAGACAGACAGACCTACATAGAATTATTACTGTATTGTATCAGAGAGTTCTGTTCTATATTGCTATATTGCGTCAGTTTTAGATAAGCTTTTGAGAGAGCCAGTTTTATGCATCCCTCTTGGCCTTGTTGAACTTTGAAGATTCTAGGAAGGACTAGTCATTCCTCTGGATTTAATTGTAATTGCTAGTTGTCCTTCAACTCCAGGTGTTCTACACAAAGGGAATGGAGAGAACATCTTCATCTCCCAGCAACCGCCAGTCATCTACACAGTGATGGGTACGGGCTACTTGCGCACTATCCCCTGCCCCAACTGTAACGGCCCTGCCCTGGGTAGCAAGCTCTACGCTCCTGTCGCTATCACCTGTGGCTCCGACGGCAGCATCTACGTTGGCGACTTCAACTTCATCAGAAGGATTCTGCCCAATGGATTTGTCATCAGCATTTTAGAATTGAGGTGACACTCCAGACCAATAGTTAAAGATGCTTTTCAGTGTTTTTCTGTGATTATGTATTTGTACATTATCTCAAACACTATTTGAGGTTGACGCATTCAAAATATATACTATAATGAAAGTTGTTGTGGTGCTTGTTGCCAAGCTATATTGCTATTTCTGCTGTTGTTATTGTTACATTTTTAACGTGAAATGGAAAAAGATGGGAAAATAAGTCATCTATTGTGTACACAGCACATCAACAAACTGAACTGAGAAGTTTAATTGAAATGCTTTCATAAGTATAATCATGGATCGAAGAGAAGATATTTCTCCAAGGATAAGAACTAATACGCTTTCTCTCTCTTTAATACAACGCTGCTAGGAATCGAGATATCAGGCACAGGTACGTTTTCAATACTGTACTCAGTCACACTCAGAACATAATGTATTTTCCTGAAAACAGTTTTTTATGACACTGCTGCATGAAAAGAGCGGTTCTTCAGTTGCAAACCGCCAGCCTACCTTTCATGGATGATGTTCTTATTTGGTTACATAATACAGGATTTGAAATGAGGAGACATTCAGTCAATATGGAAGTGTATTGACCTGGATTTAAAGTAGGTCTGTTCAATGTTGTTCCTGGAGGGCCGAAATACTTATTGTTTTCATCCTCTCCTTCTAATAAGGGACTAATTCAGACCTGGAACACCAGGTGAGTGCAATTAACTACCAGGTAGAAACAAAAAACAGAAGTGTTTTGGCCCTCCAGGACTGGAATTGAACAGCCCTGATTTAAAGGTAGCAAGGATTAGAAATGGGCTATCTTCGGAGAGAAATCCAGACGCAGCGAGGTCTTTAAAGGGTGCCTCTTATCATAGACAAGCCCCAGCCTTTCATGTGTGTTTAGATGGTTGAGCGCCCCGCTGAAAAGGCCAGTGTAACACTGTTGTGTTGGGATAGGCTTCTCATACTCTCTCCCCCAAACGAACAGGCTCTCATCTCTCCCAGAGATATGATTCATCTTTTCATGCAGCTGTCATGTTCGCAATTGATTCTTTCTCAATCAAAGTCTGTAAAAAAAACTAACTGAACTAGCTTTGCTTTTTCCCTGCATGTATGGCATGGCACACCCAACTAAAGCCTGAGATTAGTAATTTTCCTCTGCGAATAGCCTAATGTTTACAGAGAGTGTTTCCTGGTGATTGTAGTAGATGTCATCGTTCACTGGGAGGCATGCCATCACACATACAGTAGCTCTTAGACTCTCTGTCAGGGCTCTCATTACACAGGCACTTAGGTTGCCTCCATCATTTTCAGTGGTGGAAAAAGTACTAAATTATTATACTTGAGTAAAAGTAAAGATACCTTAATAGAAAATGACTCAAGTAAAAGTGAAAGTCCCCCAGTAAAATACTACTTGAGTAAAAGTCTAAAAGTATCTGATTTTAAATGTACTTAGGTACAGTGGTGGAAAAAGTACTTAATTGTCATACTTAAGTAAAAGTAAATGCTTTACATCAAATTCCTTATATTAAGCAAACCAGACGGCACGATTTTCTATTTCTTTTTTTTTTACGGACAGACTGGGGCACACTCCAACACTCAGACATCACTTAGAAACGCAGTATTTGTGTTTATTGAGTCCGCCAGATCAGAGACAGTAGGAATGAAAATGTGTTATATTGATAGGTGCATGAATTTGACAATAATTCTGTCCTGCCTGAGCAGTCTAAATGTAACGAGTACTTTTGGGTGTCAGGGAAAATGTATGTGAGTAAAAAGTACATTGTTTTCTTTAGGAATGTAGTGGAGTAAAAGTAAAAGTTGTAAACAATATAAATAGTAAAATAAAGTACAGATACCCCCAAAAAACAACTTATTAAGTTGTACTTTAAAGTACTTTATATTTAATGACTTTACACCACTGATCTTTTTGTCATGATTTCAGTCCCCTTTCAGTTGCAGTGCATTTACTGTAAAGGTGATACAGATGTCAGAATTAGAGCTGTATGGATTTTTATCATATCTTCAAGTGAAAAGATTGAGTTTGTCTGTGGTTGGCAGATGTTTGCTTCACGTCAGTGAGATGTTAATGACGGAATTGATGACGTGGTTCCTTTTGAGCAACCATTTAAGATGAAAGACTGTTGAAGGAAACGGAACTGGTGTTTAGTGATAAAAGCCAGCTCTCTGGGGATCGATCAGTAAATGTGTATTTCATATATACCAGGGATGGGCAACATTGATGGGGTGTGGGGGCCGCAAAAAAACAGAAATCATCATGAGGGGCCGCAGTGGCTCGTGGGTCTGCGTACCCAATTCTTAAAATTTTGCCATAGGGTGGAGGCAAATGTCTGCAGTTTTTATATGATAACTGATGATCAATGGGCCCCACCCTGGTCGGTATTTTGACCATTGCTTACTACAAGTTTAGATAGCTGGCCGCTAGACCAACCACATTTCGAAATTGCACCTTGTGTAGTCTATTATTCTAACTCTCAACAGTAATTTGCGACCCCAACTGTGTTCCCCCCCCCCAAAAAATAAAAATTATTTGTATTATTATTTCTTTTTTTATTGGTCCACAGGCCTGCAAAAGGGGGACCACGGGCCGCCAGTTGCCCATTCCTGATATATACAAATAGTACATGGTTTATGTTTTTTGTACTGTAGACCTAAGTGACAGGGTATTTTCTTTTCAGCTCCAGCCCAGCCCATAAGTACTACTTGGCCATGGACCCAGTAAGGGAGGCCCTCTACTTGTCCGACACTAGCAGCAGGAGGGTCTACAGACTCAGGACCCTCACAGAGCCCAAGGACCTGGCCAAGAACATGGAGGTGGTGGCAGGGACGGGGGACCAGTGCACCCCTTTCGACCAGGGCCACTGTGGAGACGGGGGCAAAGCCATCGATGCCTCCCTCAACAACCCCAGAGGTACAGCATTATCACTACCTTAATATGGCAATTAGTCTATAATCCTCAAAATAGTAAAGGGCTACCTTAAAAGGACATACTTTCAAAAGGGTTATTCGGCTGTCCCCATAGGATAACCCTTTTTGGTTCCAGGTAAAACCCTTTTTGGTTCCAGGTAGAACCCTCTGTGGAAAGGGATCTACATGGAACCCAAAACGGCTCTACGTTGAACTAAAAGGGTTCTACCTGGAACCAAAAAGGGTTCTTAAAAGTGTTCTCCTATGCAGACAGCTGAAGAACCCTTTTAGGTTCTTTTTATTTAACCTTTATTTAACTAGGCAAGTCAGTTAAGAACACATTTTTATTTACAAGGACGGCCTACACCTGCCAAACCCGGACGACACTGGGCCAATTGTGCGCCGCCCTATGGGACTCCCAATCACGGCCGGTTGTGATACAGCCTGGAAATCGAACCAGGGGGTCTGTAGTGACGCCTCAAGCACTGAGATGCAGTGCCTTAGACCACTGCGCCACTCGGGAGCCTTTTTGTCTAAGTGTGTATGCAGAGACCAGCCCCTTTCCTGAACCTGAGAAGTATTATGATTCAGGGTCTGAGTATTGACAGGTATTATTAGCAGAGGTTAAATGTGCTTCTGTGTTGTCAATAGAAAATCCTTGAAATTGGTTGAAGGTGAGGCTTTGTCCACCAATGATGATCCCATTCATTTTCTGTTCTCAAACAGCAGCGGCTTTGAAGTTCAAACAGAGTGTCTCTCCTTTTTGCCAGGGTTGAAATTCCTGTCTCCTCTCTATAGCTAATATGTGTAGGAGCCAAATTAGGGTCAGAGCAATGTGGGCACATCATTTAGACTGGCTTCAGCCCGGGCATGATGTTCTGGATCCAGAGCTGAGATGCTATTAATTCCAGCTATGTGCCCACCCCTCCTCTCTCCCCCTCCCGTCTCCCACAGCATCCCCCTTATCGAATGGGTTGGGAGCAGCTTAGTTAGACCACACAGCACAGTATGGCAGCAATGGAAATGAATTTCGCTGCTCCTCTAACACACAATACCAGGGATCCCATGGCGCCAGAGTAATGCCTTTATCAGGTGATAACACACAGTCGTTGCATCAGTCCTTCACACACAGTCCCAATAACTGACTCTCCCCTTCACAGGACTTTATAGTGCTGCTGCAGCAACATGTGACACGGTCCCATGCAGCCAGTTGATCCACCCACCCCAGTCAGAAGTAAAGATGGCAGCCAAATCAAAATAAAGATGTTACTGTAAAACCATGACTAGTGATGAAACTGTTCCTAAATCAGGGAGCCCAGGCCAGGAGGGAGCAGGATAGTGTATTGCTAACAGGATTTAAGTGTGGCTGACAGATCTGCAAAGGAAGGCAAGAGGATGGAGAGGCTGCAGTACTCCACGGCATAGCATTAACCTTCAGGAATAATGAGGATTACTGGCTGTCACAGATACAGATGCAGTCATTGTGAAGCAGCTGCAGTCCATACGTGCACTACTGTTTGGGCCTTCATTGATATTGATGTTGTATTGACACTCTCCTCAGTCCCACGGTTTTTGAAGTCACCCCAGCAGCACATAAAACATTAGAACTATTAATTAAAATAGCTCCCTGAACCATAAAACCACAACAACTGTTCATCACTGTCACCTCAGCCAGGCTTGGATTTATCCTCATTTTGTGGTTCCTGCTGCATTCTGTTGTGTTGCATAAATAGGACACTAAGAGAAAGGCTTTGGATTATGCGTTTTTATGCCAACTGTGCTCTTAACTAGGCTTGCTATACTATTAACAGACAGGATTGCACTTAGCAAATTGTGTTGGGTTGTTTTTTTTTTGGTTGAACAATCCCTAATATGTCATATTCATAGGGGTCTTGTTTTATTGATCCAGCTTTGAGGACAAGATGTAATGGTGTGATTAAATCAGTGAAAACAATTTGTACGGGCATGATCAAATCAGGGAAACTGTGAAGTCAATTGCAATGTGTAGTAATAGGTTAGCACCAGATTATTCTTTGTCTGAGAAAGAGGTGTTCTACAGACTACGCCACATTATTGCATGATGTCATACAGTAAGGGTTTGTTTTAATATAGTAATGTGAGGCCGATAGACAGCACAGACATGGTGACACCCCAGACATGGTGACACCCCAGACATGGTGACACCCCAGACATGGTGACACCCCAGACATGGTGACACCCCAGACATGGTGACAACCCAGACATGGTGACACCCCAGACATGGTGACACCCCAGACATGGTGACACCCCAGACATGGTGACACCCCAGACATGGTGACACCCCAGACATGGTGACACCCCAGACATGGTGACACCCCAGACATGGTGACACCCCAGACATGGTGACAACCCAGACATGGTGACACCCCAGACATGGTGACACCCCAGACATGGTGACACCCCAGACATGGTGACACCCCAGACATGGTGACACCCCAGACATGGTGACACCCCAGACATGGTGACACCCCAGACAGAGATGGATTAGCTAGTCTTTCGCTCATAACAACAGTGAAATTGAGATCAATCAATTTCCCCTGGTGGATTGATTCCCATGTTGTTACGGTAACTGCAAATACTACATTGTTCCACCTGCAAGCGACGATGTACTGTACCAGCTAATGTTCCACTTGGCCTGAATCTGTTCAGTATATGTATGAGTTGTATAGAAATACACTGTATTCATATGTGGATTTTGTGATTAGTCATTTGTATTCTTTTGGTGGTGATGGTTGGCAGGGTTGTTGTGACTAGGACTAGATGCTGTTAGATCTTTCATACAGAGGAAAGGATGCTACCTGTTCACATTTTGATATATTAAACACACTTTACCAGAGCACTTCACACAATAGGGCTATATTATTATTATTTGGAACAATGCTTTAAGGTAACCATGACCTTTAGCCCAGCACTTGTGAAGGGAAAGTTTTTTTTAGCTCCTTAAGACAGCCTGAGGTAGAAGCTTGATTATGAAAGATGACATTGGCGCACTTTTTGCTAAATCCAGCAGTGAATCAATTAGGTGTGTTGGCGGGTCTTTAGCTCATGCTCTGTCACTGTCACACAGATTGTGAGTCTTCCTTTATCAGCTTGTCAGCCTTTCTGATTGACAGGATAATGTAGGCAGATGCCTTTTCATTTTCTCTCCCTTCATGCTTCAGTTTGTAACACAGAGAGACTTTTGTTTTCTAATTAGTATATGGGTTTATGTTATTTCTTTATGCATGTATTAGTAACAGACCTGGGTTCAAATACATACACATTTTCTGTGTATTTGAGTAATTTCAAATAATGTGGCCTGAATCAACTACTTCTATTGGAAGTATTTTAAAGTATTTTAAATACATTCCTATAAATAGCCTACTATTTGAAAGTATTTTGAACTACTTATTTAAAATACTATTTTCAAATACCTGGGTTAAATGCATAGGAGTGTATTTGAGTCAGTGGATTTGGGAAGTATTTTCAAATACTTTCCAAGTGTATTATCAAATACATTCCAATATTCAACTACTTGTCATTTCAATTAAAAAATATAACAATTCTTACTTCCAAATGTCTTTGAAAGTAATTGAAATACCCTAAATAGTATTTGAACCAAGGTGTGATTAGTAATATGTATGGGCCTGGTGGTCTTGTGGTTGAAGGAAGGAGATTGAAATGTTGTTTATATGTGCATGTTCCATTACATCTAAAAGCTAAAATCTTCCTTCAGGGTTTTAAAAACTTTGTGACCGTGAAGCAACTTTTATCAATTGATTGTTTCTAAAGGAACCAGACTGAGCCCAGGTGTGAAAGGAAGGAAGTTGTTTTTGGACAAAACCCAGAGGGCATGAACAGCAACAGTTAGGTGTAATTTTAAACATGGGTTAAAAGTTCTGAGGGTGTTGATTAGTGGTACATATTAAAGTGCAAGCCAACTGAGATTCACAGACAGGAAGCCAACAGACTGAATGAGGATGAGGTAGCGGCTGATTGTGTGGTTGGAACTTGAACATAGATAAGTAGCACTTTAAGGCTACTTCTTAAACAGTTCAAGTCTATCCATTAGATAATGCATATCCAATGATACCAAGTCTAGGTAAGCAAGCTGTCGCTTGATGCATCTTAGTAAGAAGAAGGCAAAATAAGTGGATTATTCCAACAATTTCACAGCTTGAAATTTCACTGACTAGGGCTCTTAAGGATGAAAATATGCTTTTAAGGAAAGATAAGAGCATTGGCAGACTGATTCAAATGTCTGATAACCTGACACCAGGTCCACATGCTTCATAATAGTCTACTCAGAACAAAAATGTGCTTTTAGAAAGTCTTGCCCCAACAAAATGTGGCACACAAATATATTCAATCAATACAAACCTGACCTAAGAGCAGTCAATAGTCCTCACCCCATGGAAATCTGAGGGTTGTTGTTTTCTCACTCTAAATTCTTACCACAAAAAGTTGTAGCACACAACACCAAATACCATCATATCCAGAGATGTATTTGTTATATCATTAAGCAATAAGGCCCGAGGGGGTGTGGTATATTGGCCATGTACCACAAACCCCCAAGGTGCCTTATTGGCTTGAAGGGCATTCTAGAGTGTGCATTATTTCCCTATAATGCATGGTATAATTGAATGAAGTTAATTCTTACATGTACTATGTTTGACCTGTTTAAAAAAAAAAAAAGTCAAATTGAAAACATTTGGCATTGTTGAATTCGATTGTCATAATAACAAGCTAGCAAGTCTGTTTGTTTGGCTAACAAGGCATCTACTGTAGCTATCTAGTAAACTTGCTACTTCAGTGGATGTTGAACACCTGTTCTACAGGCAAATGAACACATGTCTAGTGGCAAATGTGTTAAATTATAGCTTTGGTATAAAAGTGATAATGAACTCGGGGCTCTATGCGTTCTCTGGAAAATAATGCAACGACCGTGGAAGGTTAGTTCCACTGCTAGCGCGTAGTGGAACACA